ATGACAGTTCACACACTCTGGGACTCCTATGAACTCTGCTGCCTTTGCTATGTCACACTTTACATCATTCAGTTTTTCCCTCCAGTTAATCTGATCTCTTCACAATTAAATCGGGTCTAGTTTTGCAAACCTTATTAGTGCTCTCAGTGTCTTTTATTCCTTTATATTATTCTTTATACGTTAACAAGCTAGTAACACATTAGTAACCCAATTTGGCAATTGGCCTAAAGAGCTTGGCAAATTCCTATAGGCAGGTACCAAACTATTAGAAGAGACTGATGCCTCTCAAAATTTAGCTGCATATTTTCCCAGAATATTATCACTACAAAAAACAAGCTTTTAATAGCTATTAAACTGCCAACCCAAGACTTTGCAAGACAAAAATAATTCAATAAACTTTCTATTCAGAGCAGTTAATTTCAAGGTATACCGACAGCATTGGCAAAAGATTTAAATATAAAATGCTATTTCAGCAACTTGGTTATAGCTAAACACTATATGTGTTTGAAAACAATACCTCAGGATATAGGAAGAGCCAAGTACAATAGCTTTTAAGGAGACAAGGCAATTATAAAACCAATAGAAGCATGAAAATAAAAAAATGAAATAGTTTTGCTGCCATTACACTTTCTGTCATGGCATGACAACTTCCCCACATAATTAGTATCTCGTATTAATAAAACAAACACAAAATCTCTACACAAACATCTAAAAAGGTGCCCCAAACTCTTGCCTTAATGTATTTTTCAAATTATTTTATTCAGAACAAACAGAACTAAATGACACTAATGAAAAGAAGACAAGACAGTCAGATGGAGAGCAAACATTACCAGACCTCACAGATGACACATTTTCATAGGAGACAAGAATGAACATTGGAAGCAGATGGAACATTTGAAGCCCAACAGCAGTGCAAAGTCACTGTACAGAGGAGCTTTAGGAAAACCAAAATTCCAGCATTTCACAACGGGGTTTTTCTCATTTGTTGTTTTAACTACCTTTAGTGTAAACTCATTTTACAGAAGTTTGTTTGAGATCCCAGCAATACAGTTCAGCGCTTCCTTAGAAAGATCACACACCCTCATTTATTCCCTGTCTCCCTTTTTCACCTGATATAGTGCTCTCCCACTAAAGTTTATTGTTGGCTTTCTGGAGTTCACAAGAAGCATTAAAGATAGCTCACTACCTAGCACATAGGTGATGGTGCATTCATGCTGATCATTTAGTCCTATTTATAGAGTTAATCAAAAAGGAGCACATATTAACTCAAGAGAACATCCAGTGTCCCCCAATCAGAAGCAATGGCTACAGAAATGTATGACTGCAATGGGAGTCAATACTAGTGAGAGAAGGGAATGGAGGACATCTTTGAGTTAGTTTTAGCAAAGCAAATTAATTTATTTTCAGGTTTTGTTTGGTATTGTAAACATAACTTAATTAGCCCTGCAAACATCTATTAAACTATCATCAATAGATGTTTTCTCTTTAAGTTCATACATGGATTTACATAAATAAAAGCAATAATTCAATTTATGCCACATTTCCCCTAGAAATTACAGTATCTGTTGTATTTAGTACAGTGCTGTAGACAAAAGTTTACAAAAACTGTTCTACTGTTTAGCTCAGTATGAATAACATTATTAAAAAGTTAACAAACAGGTGTCACTACTTGATTAAAAACACTATTTCAATTACAGCTAGCATAGATAAAAGCTATAGCTTTTTCCCTTTGCACAATGTTTCAAATCTAAATATTTGCATCTACCTTTTGTTTAAATGCTCTTTAGGATTATGCTCAGATCTCTGAATATTTGAACATTGCATTCCTCAATAGAAGCCTCATTCTGATAGAGATCTTCAAATGCCTCTACAATATCAACATGCTTATACAAATGTGCAACAGTTTGTGTATGTACACAAGCATAATGCCATTAATAATATGGCGTAATATTTATGAATTTAATAATAATTATGACTAATTATTATACTATTTGTGAATAATTATAGCAATGTGTATGTAATTATGAATTAATATAATAATTATGAATGTCTATCTCACAAATCTTATTATTTCAGAACTCAGTGCTTTGAGATGATGATGATTTATAGCTTCGCACAATGATGAACAAAATGGTGGTGGTATGCTCTGCACTAAGCCCTGTCAACTAAGCAAGTAACACCTTCCCTCAAACCAAACAATCCCCTTCAACATTTACAGACAGTAGCTCAAGACAGTCAAGCAGGGAAATCCCTCGTTTCAAAAGGCTGTAATCAATAAATAAGAATACCAGCTGAAGTACAGTTGAAAGTGTTGCCATAAAGGATGAGAAGGAGCTTAAGAGACGAACACCCCTCAGAAAACTTCCCCTCTCCCTACAACACGTGAAGTTCTGCATTGCTGTTGACATGAGCCTACGCTGTCTTCCAACTTCAAAAGACTGCGTACACTGTTAGTGAGAAATAGAGCTTTGACTAATAAATCTTAAAGATTATTACTGTGTCTTCGCAGGAAAAGAGGAAGATGCTTATGTAGCAATGGCTATAAATAGAATGCAAAGGTTGGATTTGCAGACTCAGCAGACAGTGTTTGGTTTCACAGAAATTATTTATAGATATTACAAGTATTAGGATTTAAAGAAGTTACATAAGTTCTCCAAATAGTTCCAAAAACTGCTGGGAGGAAATCTCTTTGGGGAATTTTTATTTTATTTTATTTATTTTATTTTTTTAAACCCAAACCACAACCATTCCAGCACAGGAAAGAATATTTCTTCTTGGACTAACTTTCCTTAATATATTTCCCCATGGCAAAGGTAATGGATCACATGGGAATTACATAGTTCTAAATTTCTCAGTTTTAGCTGCATACAAAAGAGGATTTAAATCACAGAACGTATTTTTTAAGCTTATGTACTTGCATACTTGCTTTTACTCTCAACTCTTCAAAGATTTAAGAGCAAAAAACAGTACAATAATTCTAGCTTCTGGGCTCTTAGTAATGGCCAAAAATGGTGTGGCCTTGCCTAGTAAAGAATGGGAAGAAGAGATGCAGGAGAGGGAAAAATACACGGGAACTTATCCAGACTCTTGATTTGCGCTGAATTTCATTCGAAAGAACAATCGCTACTATTTTGCATAAATTGCATATTCATGATTCCAGGTTTATGTAAGTCTGTAAACAGTTGATATTTCAATAAACCCATAACATTTTAAATACTGGAAATGCATAAATAAATTTTGTTTAGGTCCCTCAGTTAGCTATACTAATCTTTTAACCATACACCAGGACTATAGCTGCAAAGGATCATTATTTTTTATAAACAATTAGATTATACAGCTGCTGTAAAAATTTCAAAGGAATTAGACAAGGAGGAAGAAATATTTTCTTAAATATTATTTCCATTAAAAAAGCAACTTTTTTTTTAAGTTTATCTAGCAATGGCAGAAATCGGAACAGAATACATTCATCCATTTAGGATAAAAGTGAGTTGTCCCAAAACAAAACAACCCTGATTTGACATAGTACAGTGTATAGTATAGCTTTTTGTATCAGTTTTTCTTTCCTGTCTTTCAAAAATCTCTATAAGACTTACTCAAAATACTGCTATATATTCCAATTTTGAAAAATAACTCAAAATTCAATCAATCTCCCATCTTCACAACTATATTACTACTGCAATCAACTTATTGAAATTCCCATGTTAGAACAACAAATATATTCTGAGAGCAGAATTCATGTCAAACAGCAGCAGACTGTACTGTGTAGAATTTATTTACACACACGCACACCCACATGACCAGCTTCCCCTTTTAATAAAGCCTTTAATTAAAAACAGAGCATTTCGCCCAGTTAATTACTTGATTTCCCATAATTTCATGTGCCCATAAGAAAATAGGGCATATACGCTAACTACGACAACAGAAGCTCTGCAAAATACCACCTCATCATTAACAGTGTAAAACTAACACAAAGAGCACAAAGTCTTACAGGTTCCAAAAGCTTGCATTTAAAGTCAAATGTTAAAACCCTTGCATCTTGTCTACTATAAATTTTCAGTTCTTCACATTTAGAAATTATTTTTTAATTCTGTTTGGTACTACACAAAACACATCTAATTTTAAGACTAAAACCCTGCGGTTTTCAACTAAACACAGTATAACTTACAAAGGCAAAAAACTTATAAAGGCAAAAAATTTCAGACAAGTTAGTAAATGAATCCTAACACCTCTAATACAATACTGTAAGCAAAACCAGACATTTCAAAATAGTTAGTGTTTCTTAGGATTAGATGGACAAAAACTATGCTTTGATTTGCATAGTTCAGTTCTACATTATGCTGGTGGTGCCTAACACCTCCCACCCCACCACCCACAATGATATGAGGCTGTCTCTAGAGCTTCCAGATCCATTTTGGCAGGCTTTTTGAATGCATATGTTCATGACTGGATTTTTTAAATTTATTTTTATTTTCCAACACAAACAAAAGCAATAATCAGTGACATTCAGCCCCACACTTTTTCCTCATCATTTAGATGTCTAAATATTCTCTCCAGTCCTGTCTACATAATGATTTAGGGAAACCAACAAAGTAAACTCCATCAGCCAATGTAATTGTATGCAAAACTTGTAACAACTCATCCCAACAAGAAGAAATATGTCCGGAGAGATATCAGAAATTAAAGTTACAGATTTAACACGCATACATGCCCACAAAAGAGGGAACAACAGAGACCAGACTGCAATATTATCTGTAGCAGGTATTATGAAGCTTCCAGTGGAACACATAAAGCTATTATAAAGCTAATATAAAAGAATCAACAATTCTACTAGTAAAATCAGAGATAACTGATTTATGAAAATCAGTTTAAGATAGTGCACATAAAATTATATGCAAATATTATTACACATATTAATGTCTGACTGTACAGTTACATACACAATAAATGTAAGAAATAATATTCAACATGACAATATTAGTCATTAGATATTAACTACTTACTATTAAGAGCCATAATATTGTCCGTTCCTGGATGATGGAAATTTATTCCCATACGCCCTGCAATGTAAGTAAAAGCTATTTTTAATGTTTTTACTTCAACACTTAATTATATTTATTAATATTAATATGAAAAGCTGCTAAAGGGGATGAACACTCCAGGTAGCCAAATCTTCCATCTATTGAAGACAACTTCCCAAGAATACACATTCAAGATATTTAACACTGTAGTACCTCTAGTGTACTTAAAATACTGAAAATCACAAAACAAACAATGAATTTTTTTTTTTTAATACATCCCTTTGCTTTGTACTAGGAAAGTATTATGTTTACCCTTTCAAGATAAGGCCTCAAAGTTCAACCTCGCTGCAGTTACGCCATTTATAGTAGGCTTCGAATAATGAGTACAGCATTACAAAAACTCCACTTAATTGGTAAAAATAAATCACTATTTTCCATACTACCTGTGACACCAGAAGCTCTCCAGTTAACAGATTGTTGGAGACAGAGTGCTTACCCTGTTTTTGTATTCTTCCCTAAAAATCTGCTATCACTTACTATTTGAGATAAGATACTGGGTTGGAGGGAGCGTTGTTCTCATGAAGTACATTCATATGTACTTTGAAAAATATTTATTCTTGACCCATAATACGGGACTGTCATATACAGAAGGTTCACCATGAAATTCAAATGAACTCTGCTGGTGCCAGTTTCCAGGAAGCTAGAGAGATGCAAAATAGTACCAATTTTCTCAGGTGAAATTTAACTATTGAAAGGTTGGCTTAAGAAGATCTCTTTCAGGAACTGGAAGGGGGAACAAATCCAGACACGGTTACTTTGTTTCAAAGGAGACAGTCGACTGAAATCTGATTTTACCATCAAAGCAAGAAATGAGCCAACTCTACTACTGTTCAGATTAGTTTTAGTGTTAGATACTATTTAACTGAGCTGAAGTATTAAAAATTTACCCTGAAGAAACTTTGTCAGTGGCCTTTCTTAATTAACCCCAGCCCCCCCAAAACAATTTGAAAGCTGTAACTGGTATTAGTCCTTGTTTGGAAAAAGATATAAAAGGACCATTATAGCCACATAAAAATTTATTTCAATTAAGTAATGTAAGTAAGTTATTTACAGGTGTTGTAATCCATTTCATATGCTCTCCATATCTCTAGATTTGTGGTTAAGTTTGGGAGCTAAGGAAGCAGGGAGTTTCCATTTCTTCACTACATTGGCACTCAAACATGGCAGCTCAAGACCCATTCACTATACTGAAGAACTAATATAACCATTAAGTTCCTGTAGTGTAAATTCTCTTCCGTACTTCTGCAAAACCAAGTTTCAACAAATAAGCTTTCACAAAGCAGAACTAAAGCCAATCTTCTCCAAAATTTTTAGTTCCTACGAACATTTTAACTTCCTGTAGAAGTTAAAGCCTTCTATTTCCAGCCACAAAGACTGCTGTGCTGCAATTAATATTCTTTCTGAACAGATGCAACATGAAGTTTCAGTATGCTTCTGAAACTAAGTCACATGCAGTTTAAGAAAAGCAAATATATATTTTCTTCACATTCTAATTTTCTCATTCTTTTAGAAAAAAGTGCCGCCACAGTAAGACTATGAAGCAAACAGCACCTCCAGAAAGAAGTGGGGGCAGGAGGAAGGTAAATAAAATTTCCATTTTTACTTTACAACTCCTTGAGCAAAGCTTCTGAAAGAGATCTTCATTAACTACTTCAGACTTCCTAATTACAGATATAATTCTCCTATACATATTTTCACAATCTGGCACTGCAGAAACATTAAAGATGCTATTATTTCAGTTAGTATATGCTTGTGCTAAAATACTTCAGAAACCTTGCCAGATTGACATTAATTCCCTTTTCCTTAACAGCATATTAATGAACATGAGGTTACACAGGTGTTACTTGTAAAGAGAAAAGGTGTATATTAATAATCTGTACTTGTAATAGAAAACTAATACTTGTAATAGAAAAAAGGGAACTGCTATGAAAAAACTAGAGTAAAATTTGGATGCATAATGCTTGAATGGCCCTTCTCTTTTCCTTTGCTGAAGCTGAAATTCTGCTGTTTGACCAGCTTCAGAAATAGAATCGTATCTGTGACATCTGGGTTTGGTTTTTTCCTCCCTCCAGGCTGTCACTGGACCAGGTGCTGCTTGTGTGACATTTTGTCACCTGCCCTTGGCCTGCTATTTTTAAACAGTTCTTGTCAGCTATCTTTTAAGAGGAGCAGAAAATACAGAGCACACAAGCAGAAGGACACATTCTCACACTGAGCTAAGCAACAGTGTGGGATAATTCTGTGCATCTTCAGAGGTCCCCTACTGCAATTCTATAGAAACAAATTAATTGAATACTTTCAAAACACACCTGTATTAAAAGCATTCAAAACAGACTGGTAATGCACCAATCATAAGACAATTAGTTACCAATAATTACATAGCCTTTCATATTAGCTACAACGTTTTAATATCTTGCTGTTTGAAGCAAATTATTCAATTAAAAAAAAAAAGACGCCATATGCAGATTACAAAACTGCATAATTATCTAAGGAACAAGAAGAGAGCACAAAAAGGAAATTATAAATTTATTCTTTTAAAGGTGCAATGCAAAACTGTGAAATGTAATTAAGAATATGTACTTTCAAGGACATATTTGGGTTAAACACAGAAGTGACTATCAGAAAACAATCAATTTTCAGAAAAGCACATGTATGCTACCTGGGCCTTTACAAAGTCTATATAAGCACATGTTTCTAATTCTAGTTTTAAAACGAAATCTCGGGATAAAATTTCTACTTTTCAAGAATCTTAAGCACAGTAAGCAGAAACACAGAGAAGTTAGAGTACAGAAATTATGGACTCCAGCAGTTCACTGAAGTCATAAATAGGATCCCTTCCAGTAACAACATCCCCAGTACTTGTATTCATTGTACATCTGCCATTTTCAGTTTGCCTGTCTTGGTTTCATAACTATCTACTGAGTATATTTTCAATTATGTGCTTTTATAACACACACACATTACTGTAGTTAGGCTGCAACAATAATCACTCTTTTACATAAGTCTTTTCCATTCTTAATTTTAAAAAAAATTAATCCAGTTGTATACTTCTTGCTTTTTAAACATTTCAGAGTATAAATGAGGGTTTAATGATTCTTGTATAGCCCAGGCTGTTCTTTTGTGTATCTTCTGTCATTAAATTCCTTAAATTCTCTCTCCTAACAGCATTTGGAGAGGCAGTCCAGCCAGAAAAGTCTAAGTGCGCTGCTGCATGTCCAATATCATGCTTGTCATGGCAGAGAGCCCGATTCCTTCTTAGAGTATATCTCAAGTATGTGCATCTTCTCTTCCTTATTGTATTGGAAATAAGATGATGTTAGATGGAATTTAACTTCATCTCATTCTTTGTAGAGAAGTGTCACGATTTTGAAACAATGCTGAAATCTTTCCAATAACTTAAGGAGGTATACCCTTCCCAAATATGAATCTCTTTATTAAATCTTTCACAAACAGATAATCTGGTTTTGGTTTTGTTTTGTTTGGGTTTTTGTTTTTTTTTTTTAAATTATCTAGATAATTTTAAGTTACATGAATAGTTTTGAGAAAGAATGCTGTTCCAGAAATAACAAACCTGGATATCTGGCACAGTTTTACCACCACTGCAGTTTTTTGACAGTGTCTAGTGCCAGGCTTGCCTATAGTGGTCCCCTGAATCTCAATTTTAAAATCCACTATTCGTAGCAGATGTTCAAGTTTATGAGCACAATCTGTTTACAAGTAAGTGTAAAACTGTTCTTTGACTTCATCTTTGTATATATGTGCTGCTATTACCGTTATTTTCCCATGTCTGAAACAAACACCAGTGATTAACCAGTTCCAGATCTATAACTACTGTTTTTGCTTTAAGAGATTTCTGAATTCATTTTCTCTTTTTATTAATTTTCTCATTTTATTCAGTTTCTCTTCCTACGTGCTCTATGGTTTTTTGAACTTGTGAAATCCTAATCAACTCCTGGACATGAACACCCACTCAGTGAAGGATTTTTAAGATTACAGTTACCTATTGTCATCATTTTCACGTTACAATCAATGTTCCAAGAAACAATGTTCGTTGGTTATATATTGAGTAAAACTTCTTGCACTGTTATACCTCATGGCTTTCACCAAGATCGACCACTTATACCAATTCAGCAACTGGTATCTGGCATAAGATTTGCTAGAAATTAGCAAAGCTGGCCTGCTTTTGACCTGTCTTGAATTTACTGGGAATGAGAACTTCCTCTCACATAGTTCTTAAGATCATTGTTGGTATCAATTACAAGTTATGACTAGAGACTCCAGTGGCAAGGTCAAATGAAACTGGCAACAGGACTAGGTCTGATATACTTCCTTAGTAATAATACCTCTTTCATCATTCTTATCTCTTCTATCAAATGATTTCAAAGTCAGAGCCAACAAAAGGCATTACAAAACAGCAATAGTTATTTGGATGGACAGGTAGCAAGTGGGGTAGAGCAAAGTTTGGACACAGAAAAGTGCAAAAACCAAAGCAAGACCAGTATTCCCTCAAACATCTGAAACAACAAGATTATTTGGACCCATATGTATTTGGAAGTGTAGTTTACGGCACAATGTAACACATACACACACCCCCATACCCCAGCTCAACCATGAGTCTGCCCCATGATTCACAAATGGCCAAAAAGCATGAAGCATGTGTGTGTATATATAAAAATTTTAATCATTTTTACCTCAGTACACCTCAGACCATTCTCTCTCCTCTTACCCCAAAACCACAGACACCTGAAACTGATGCTACACTAACTCAACATACATGCCCAAAACAATTTCAAAAGCAAGAACTGTGTAAGCAAGGGTCTGCATAAAGAATTGTAAAAATAAAAGGTAACTTCCTGAAGAAGTTTGTTGGTAGGGTTGGTTTTTCTTTTCATTTTTCTCTCCCCGCCCCCCCTTTAAGTCTATCTGCCATTTGTCCACACCCGTAATTTAAACACTTACTTGGGACTTACATACCTTTT